CATTTTATTGAGCTTAATTAACACAACTTTACTAATGCTGAGAAATTTTATTTCAACAGTTATATAGGATATACGGACACCGGGTCCTTATATTTAAATTTAGTAGAAGTTTATATTACTTCTAAAACTTAAACCCAAAAGGTTTGACTCCTATACGACAAAAATTGATCGAGATGTTTAACTTCAAAATTTAGGATTTTTACCATGTTTCTCGGCTTGAAGAATCAGCTAAAAACAAATTAATTATTTCTTTTCTATCATTTAATGTCAGTCAGTGATATTAAGTTGTGATTTAGCATTCTTTTACTTGAAATTATATTAAATTTTCTATGCCAAAAGCATTTTTACACAAGCAGTTTTTAAATAATAAAAACGCGTGTTTAATATTCACATGCAGTTTTGTTATTTTAAATTATAATGTAACAAACATAATAAACTCACTGGAACAGAAATAGTCTTCATTTTTTATTGATGCAAATAATGCTGCGAATTGAATTTACACCAATTCTAAAGACTATAAGTATTCTAGAACAGTAATTCTACAAAATTCTAGGAATAATATCTCCCTTTTGGAAGAGTGTTGATAAAAATGTTTCTCGAAAGTATGCATAGCAATGATCGCCATTTAACCTATTGCTATCGAAAACCTTTTTTCTAAACTAATATTTCATTTCTAGTTACGTGTAAATTCCAGTCTCAATTTATGTTTAACCTTTGAACATAATATTAAATTTTAAAGTTAAATATATCTGACAATTTTTGTTGTACAAGAGTCAAATTTTTTGCATTTTATTTTTTGGTATAAGTATAAATGAACAGTATAAATGTTTCTTGTAATTTAAAATAAAAACTGATTTTTTTAAAGTTTAACCAAAACATACGTATTTGCGTTATTTAAAACATTTTTGAAAAGATACAAACGTGTCTACAACCAATAGTTGCAAAACTAAAAACCATATTATAAGGCTTTTTTATGAACCCGATGTATATAAACTGAATTAAGATAAAATTATGTGATGTAATAACTCAATAATTTTGTCAATAAAAGTTGGTATTCAGACTATTCAAAAGTTCAATGACTGTTTTAAAATTATTCTCAAAATTTGAAAAATGAAATTTGAAGCTTTTCGATTCCCATCCGAGTTACTGATATACGCATCGAAGAACGATTACAATTACCTATCCATAAGCAAACACATTTTCGAGTTAACAACAGAAAAAAAAAACCAATTTATGATATAAAATAGTTCAAGAACAGGACTTAAACTTATTATAGTCGTTGGAGTTTAACACAGCAGATAGTAATAAACTTATTGCCATAAAAGTTGTTTTAATATTTTATTCTGTACGGTGCTTTCCCTAAAGTGTCTTGAAAAAAGATAAAATACCTATAAAATACTTTGTATCGATAAAACTCAGTTGAACAGAAACAGGATGAAAATTATTTTTGAGACTTTCGATAATGAAAATAAAGATGAAACATACAATAAATATATTAAGAATCTTTAACATCAAAAAATTTTAAAGATACAAAAACCAATTTTAGATGCTTAGTAGCAGAATTATTTATACTATTTTGAGTAGACCTGGTATCAAATTATTCATGGCAACTTCTTTTTGCTTTAACTCGTGAAAAGTATTTTCAATTTAATTTAAATCTAACTATGTTTCTTATTTGTTAATCAGACTAAAATTTGTTTTAAACATTACTAATGCATAAATTAGCCTTCATTTTCTTCTAGAAATCTGAGACTTCATTTAAATTTTATTTAAGCCTAATACCGTGAATCATTTGATAGTTAATGTATAATTTGCACAGAAAACCAAAAAGTGTAATTTTTACACCATTATTAAAATCTGATTCAGGATTTAAATGACTCGCTTTTAGGAAAATTTGTAGTATGGAGCATAATCGTTTTAAAAGACGCAGATGAATTCAAATAAGCTATTACCTGCTGTATACATTCAATGTATATACCGTATATAGTGTACAGTATGCATTCAACGTACATATTCTTTCAGGAAGTTATGCAGTTATCATGAAAATGAACGCTTTTAACTTAAAAAATATGTTGGTTTTTAACTCGCAAAGGATGTTTAAATAATATATTTTAATCAAAATTTAAATCTACCACATAAAAAATTATAAGATTATGATAATTTAGGAAAAAAAAAGCAAAATATTGCATTCTTGTAAGTTCTGGAATTATAAACAACACAAATGAACATAGACATAGACTTGCAAAGAGAGAATCATGTTTGAGGAAACCAAGATCTTTTACATTTTTTTCATTTTATCTATCATTCATACAAAGTTTTTTTAATCATGTTGTTAAATTTATATCACTAAAACTCTTGGCATTTTTTTACAGTTCACTACTCTTATGTTTACATTATAAAGTAAAATTGAAATTTTTTTTATATTGTAAACACTGAACCCCCGAATATCTATACCAATTAAGTGTGCAACGATAATTCAAATTACTCCTTCAAAACTGCAATTATGGCAACAATCATAAAATAGGAATACTTCAGAGACTTTTAAATAAACTAAATTATGAGCTATATTAAAATAGTATTTAATTGAAATAGTATTAAAATTTGCATAGATTTTCATTTCTCCAAACGTTTCTATGGCTTTTCATTTTTTAAGTGAAATAATGACATTCATTTAAACAGTATGGAAAACATAGCGTAAAGCTACTCTACTGTGAAGTAAAAATTCAGTTTGTTCACCCTTAGAGTCTAGCAGCTCATCTACACACTACAGTGGCCGCTCTTGGTACTTCTCCTTTATTTCCCTTTTTACTAGCTTTTGTTGGCTCTTGTTAAACAATACATTGGTCTCTAAATTTCTCATTTTCCATTATCATTAAATATCGGTCTTTTAGTGAGACGATGCATTAATAATCCACAAAATGGATAATCCAATTCTGTAAACGCCAGAAATAATGTTAATGAGGTTCAATGCTGTTAACTCTTTACCAACAGAATCATATTTCCCGTTATCAGGAACCAATACTCTTTCTTTTTTTCAGCTGCAAATCAGCTTTATTCCAATACTTCGTATATAAATGCACTGCAAAAATAAGAGTTTTAAGTAAATAATCTCATGTGTTTCAATTTCGTCAAGTATCAGTCTTTCTTAGAGACGATGCACAGATAATCCGCAAAACGGATAACCCATATGCAGATAATCGGGAGTTCAGACTAAAGCACATATTTAGTCTAAAGAGCTCAAATAGAGCCGCTAATAAAAAGATAAATTTAGGAACGGAATTTGTATTTTCTGCAACACACAACTTTGCTGTGCAGCTCTAAATCACAAATTAATACATTTTTTTTCATTCTGTATAATCTTTATTTATTTATTTTTAGAGAATTTTAATTTGGAGTGTTGCATCATTTTCTTTTCTAATCCATTGATATAACATAAATAGTACAAGGTGATTCTTTTAGAACTGACCTGTTTCATTGGTAGTAGTTTTGTTAGAAAGTATTCTATTTTAAAGCGGTTTACAACAAAAGACTTGGGAATGACAAAAAATCAATGGTCTGTCTCGTTTCTTGATATGCAAAGCTGAAAAAAGAAGAAATAACGAAAACCGCGGCATTTATCTCAGAAGACTGGATACAATTACGTGTCAGAGAGCTGCGGAATCATCCGGAATGAATGGAACAAAGTAACGACGGAGCAGTAATTGCATGACCCAGACAGGGAGGAAAGCGGATGGACTATTGTGAGTGTTTCTTGTTGTTCATCAACCTTACTCCCAACATTCTGGAGCTAACATGATTCGCAGATGAAGCTTGGTTGCACTTGTTCGGATATGTCAATACCCAGAATGGAGATGCCACTTCGTTCAGACAAAGTTGGAGTCTGGTGTGTTCTGTCCGTCAATCGCATAGTGGGACCAATATTTTTTGAGGGAACGGAGAATAGCGAGCGCTACATTCACATTTTTAATGAATTTGTAGAACAGCTTGATGACGTGGGACTGACTGAGGGATATTCCCAGCATGAAGGTGCCCCATGCCACACGTGAAAACAAAATATAACCAACATGGAGCTGTGAGTTCGGTGTTGATTATACCAGGAGGGTGGTCATTTTCACCGTCTACATTAGGGTAAGTGACTATAAACCTTTAAAACCTCTACAAACCTTTACGCGTCACGTTTGGTGGCAATCAGAGTTTTTACCAACGTTTTATAGACGCAAACTATCCTTCCTTGTATAGTATTTCGCGGTTTTCGTGATTTCTTATTTCCTGTTTTGTTTCGGTGTCGCACGTCAAAAAAGAGGACAGACACTAAAGGTTTATCTTTCCTGAATCTTTTGCCGCAAATCGCATTAAAATGGGATACTTTTTAATAAAATTACTGCTCAATGAAATAGGTCAGTTCTAAGAGAATCACCCTGTAGAACAATGTAGTTAATCTAGCCGATATATTCTACTAATCATCAGTTATTAAACAGCTAACAAAGAATTTCGCTTATATTTTTATAGCAAGATTTTTATTACAATAGCATCTAGACCAGCGGTTCTCAACCTTTTGACAACGCGTACAATCTAAACAAAAATTGAAAAACCTTTAGTACCATCACTACAAGGTAATACCACCACCACTTTTGAGCAAAGCTCAGATCGCATAAATTTACAAGTTTTAGAGAAAGAAACTCAGTCAGGATGTTGGGGATTTAATTTTTGAATTTAATAGTTAAAATTACTTTGCATCTTTGCGAACCACCTATTTTTCTCTTGCGTACCACCGGTTGAGAACCCCTGATCTAGACCATTATTGGAACTAGAGCAAACGTCACTGAAAGACACTGGTTCGAGCATATTCATAACAGGATTCAAATCTTAAGACTAATTTTACATAAAACAAATTACTATCTATTATGAACGATAGATCTCGAATGAGAAGATATTTTATCATCCATTTGCAATGCATGCAGCTTCTAATTTTAAATGAATTGTGGTTAAATTAATGAAAAGTGTTAAGAATTTTAAACATCGTATATATTAAAGCTTAATTATTTACCTTATAATGTGTACTATTTTGCAGTGATTATTTCCGTTTCAATGACCGAATGGGGCAGAGTAAATATCAAGAGTACATACTTACATATGAGTTGCTGCGACGCAGTTCAGATATGTTTGTTTGAGTTCAAAAACAGATGGAATACTAGTACACTTGTGCGTGTAAGCAACAGCATAAGTGGAGAAGTTCTGTTGTTTCAAATGTAAGCATAGCGTATGCTATTCAGATTTCAAGCTAAGCAAAGAATGTGACAATCTCTTTAAGTAGTACAATAAATAAGTAATTTTAGGTAATACCGTTAGGTAGTAGGTTACAATCTCTTTAATTAAGATAATTAAATTTTACCGAAGCAATACAGACTTTATAAGAACACATTTACATGCTGTAAATTTAGAGTTTTAAATCGTATTCATTATTAAGCCTATAGAATAGTTATATAGATATATATCTAGATATATAGATAATAAATATCTTATCTCACATATCATCATAAAATTGAGCTGTATTAAGCCACTAACTGACTGCCATTTCAATTGCTTTAAAAATCTGTGCATGTTTATAGAAGTGCACTACCAGATTTATCAGTCATTGGCGACATCATGCAAAACTTGGAATTCCTGTCTTACGTTTTATTTTAAGGTAAATAAACTTTGGTCCGCTTCGCAGATTATAAGAGATTTCTGTCAGCACACTACGTACATTTCTTATAACAAGGATATTTATGGACATTGTTCTCTGCAGAAGTAATAAAACTATAAAAAATTTGGTATATAAATAAATTGAATAACTGAGTAGTTTTATACATCTGCATTATTTACAAACGATATATTCAATAGTCTAAGTACCTCGTGTAATTTGGAATATTTACAAAGAATAAATTCGGCCATTTATATCTGCAAGGATTTGAAAGGTCTGGCCTTTGGCACTTGGAAAGAAAAGATCTTATACAACTGTTAAAAATAAGGATGTCACGAGTAACGTACAAAGTGATCAGTTTTGATAGACATTGAAATCTTCTACTCTTTTCCTATCTTCTCCAATTAAATAACTATCAGTATTTTGTACTCCTGATTGTTATGGAAAAAGATTCGTTGAAGAGATGAAAAGGGCTCTCTCAGAGAGCTCATCAGACGCTGAAGTTTGGAAATTTTCAATGATGTCCTTTCCTGGGATTGGTCTTGCACCACAAGTACAGCCTGTATAATCCATAGAGCGCAAACAAGGATAGTACGCCGCCCAAGATAAGGAGGAAGATTTGAGTTCCAGGAGAAATAACTAAAAAGAGAAAACAACAATAATAAAAATCCATTTTTATGCTGAATTAAATAAAAACTATGCATTGCAAAGAAAAAAAAATATTTATTTATTCACCAAAAACATTATTAAAACTGTTACAGCACAAAGTTAATTAATCAAAAATGTCTCATATATTTACGCTTCGCGTTTTGCATTTTTGGAACTTAATTGTCAGCATAAATTTTAATATTTTTGCATAATGAAATTCAAAAGCATAAAAGACCAACGTGCACCGAAATATATATAATATTGGCAAGAGAAAGCGAAGACCGGTGGCATTCGATTCTCACCTTAGCTACTTGTACCTGGGCCAAAAGGTCTAATTTAGTCTCTTTCAGATACTGTGTCAAAGTATGTTCCTGTTTCTCTTTTTTATTGCCTAAATAGGTAAAACTGATGAAATTAGGACTGATAATGATTCTATATAAGTTACTCTTTTTCAATACTTCAATTTTTAATGTCTGTGAATAATATTACTTTAATTGATGTTCTACTTAAGCATAGTTGTATGTATTATAAGTATACATAAACTCTTTTGTAAAAACATCGAAGCACCAAGAAGAACTTTCGCGATCGTGACGAACTTTGGTATGCAAAAACATCTTGATCGAACATGCAAATGATCAAAGTTTCAAGACAAATAAAATAACAGGAATTGCGACCATAGCGAGCATTTCTAGTGCGCAATTCGCAAAGTATAAAACCAGTAACAGAGCCGGAAAATTTTCTTTCTTTGTTGCTGCCATTCTAATTCCGTAAAGAAGGAACTAAAGATGCCATTACGACGATATCGAGACCTTACAGACAACTAAACGACTTCGAAAGTGGTCGCATTGTAGGGTTGCGTGAAGCTAGGTGGTCATACCGAGCAATAGGCCGCCACCTGCAGCGTACAGAACACTGCTGTTCAAAGATGTTGGCAGCAATGCTTGCTACAAGGAAACTGCCGACGAAATGAAGGCTCTGGAAATGCGAGGCAAGATAGGATGACTGTTTGCCAGGCCCGAACCGCCCCAACGGTATTATTGTCGACTATTCAACGCACTACAGCCACGTCTATGTCTCCCGTGGTACCCCCACGGCGCTTGTCTGAGGCGGAGCTACGCTCACAGGGACGTTTGCCTTTGAACCCACAACATCGGCGGAATCGTCTGGAATGGTGTCGCAGCCGATCATCATGGTTACCATCGGACTAGCATCGTATAGTGTTCAGTGATGAATCCCACTTCATTCTTGAAGGAGATGACCACCGTGTTCGTGTCTGGGAAGGACGGGGCCAGGGGTCCAAATCAGCTTTGTTTTACAAAGGCACACAGCCATAACCCCTGGTGTGATGGTATGGGGCGTTATTTCTTATGGCAGCAGGTTATCTTTAGTCATCCTCCGCAGCTCAACGATATATTGATACCATCCTGCGGCCGATTGCATTACCTTCATGGCTCATCATTCTGGAGCCATTTTCCAACAAGATAATGCCAGGCCACATACCGCACATATATCTCTGGACTGTCAAAATGCGGTTGATACGCTTCCTTGGCCAGCAAAGTCACCAGACCTTTCACTAATCGAGCATGTCTGGGAGATAGTAGGTCGCCAGATATGGGCACCACAAAATATCGCAGATCTGGAGCGACAACTGATGAATGCTTAGCAGAATATGCCGCAGGATGACATTAGGAACCCCTAACACTGCTTGCCTCGACGAATTCAAATATTCGATTTAGATTATTTTCTAACATGTTTTATAAATTAAACAATAAAAATTTAGAAAATATTACTAAATATCAAAATTTGAATAAAAGTAATTTTTTATACTCATAACCTAAAAGTAAATAATTAACATCTAAATAAAAGGCTAACTGCCCTCCCCCTTAAATATGGAATTCCCCACAATTTGAGAATCCTTGCCTACCGGAAAGTTCTTTCCTTTTCTATGACAACAATTTTTGACACGAAAGCACATGCTTATTTGGCGCATGTTCGACTCTCTATTTTTATCGCTAATGTGTACATACTGAAATAGCAAATTAACTAAAACAAAGTTGATTTACGTTCGTCTTAAGTATGGAGCGATAGTGTACACATGGCTACTGGTAAGTTCATTTACGCCATTGTGTTTTATACGAATTTCAACAAGGGAGAAATGTTGCAGAAGCATGTAGGAATTTATTGAAAGTGTTTGGTGAAGGTACGGTTTCTGATAGGATATGCAGAAGATGTTTCGAAAAATTTGAAAAAGGTGATTTCGACCTTTTTGATAAGCTACTTTTTGGGGCACTATCTTTGATCGAGGACGATGTTGTTAAGACAATGTTGGAGCAAGATAATTTTCGGACAACATCGGAGATCTTGAAAGGCTTAATTCAGCTCAGCAAACCATTTCGGACCGTATTCGGAAGATTTAATTGGTGTGGAAATATTCAAATGAATTAAGTCAGAAGACTGAATGATCGAGTCGTCATATGCACATCTCTGTTTGCTCAGAACAAAATCGAACCTTTCTTGAACCGAATGATAACTGAGGATGAAATGTGGATTACGTACGAAAGCATGGTAAGGACAAGGCCATATTGTGGACCCGGAAAGCCTAGCCTTTCCACCTCTAAAGAGATACTGTATATGGTGGGATATTCGAGGACCAATACATTATGAGCTTTTAAAACGGAACGAAAAGCTCATTTCGGAGAAGTATTGTCAGTAACTGAATAATTTAAAGAGAGCAGTCTAAGAAAAGAGGCCCGTGATGTTCAATAGGAAGGACATCATACTGCATCATGATAATACCAGGCCACATGCTGCTTTGGGGAATCGTAAAAAAATTCCAGAACTAGGCTGGAAAATTCTGTTGCATTCACCATATTCCCCAGACTTAGCACCCTTAGACTATCACTTGTTTTTGTCCTTACAAAATGTTTTGAAGAGCAAAAAGTTCAAAAATGTAGAGGATATCGAACAAGCACTGGTTCAATTTTTCGCATAAAAAGATGCAACATTTTTCAAAAATGGGATATAATAAATGCCCTCAAGCTGGCAAGAAGTCATTAATATTAATGACAATTATATTATTTAATAAAGTTTATTGACAGTAAGAATATTTGTATTTTGTTTTATTCCAATAACGGATAAAACTTTCCGGTAGATCGAATATAAACACAACGCTTCCCGAATTTCTGCTAAACGAGTTAGATTACCCCTTCAATCAGTAACTTAAGTCAGATGCCCAACAAAAATTCGTTATCGCTCGCATTGCCAAAAAAGAGATCCACTGGTTATACATCAGTGCTTTGGGAGAAAATACCGTATTTACTTTAAAATAAAAAGCCTTTGAACATTGTAAGGATCTTAAGTTTTACTAACGTTTATTTTATTTTAAATCTTTACTATCACTTCCTATTTTCTACTTCCGGCCAGAATTAAAAGATTTAACTTATTTATGCAAATTTGTCTTGCGAACGCCAAGTACTTAAGTTGTGGCTTTTTGCCAAGCAAGAGAGAGGAAGGAGTGTTTAGGAGCAGGCCGCTTGCCATAGCAGTTTTACTCAGTTGCTGGTTGCCTTCAAGGCCAGAGGTTTAATCCTCTTGATAATTTTAAACGTATCGTAGTGTTAACAGTTCTCTGTACTACATACGGCCTTTCTACGGCCTTTCTGTTAATATACGGCCAATCTTCAAGTAGGCACTTGTTTATTAATCCAAAGTTAGTTTAGTTAGAGTTTAGTTAATATTTTTATATTCTTACGTTCAGACCACAAGTGGTTGGTCTCTGTATTCTGAAGTCCGGAAATCATTGTAAAGAGAGAAAAATAAAGGGTTTCGTATACCCTTCCTGTGTATCTTGTCTACTTCCCACATTTATTGAACATAGCTTTAGTAAGCTCCCTGTTCCAAGTCAGGTCATTTAATGTTCCCAAAGCAAGTAAGGAGGAACACTGAACTTGATAACATAAGACCTTCCTTATCTTTTCAGATAAATTTTAAAATATAAAAGTGAAGGTATTTCTTTATCTTTGAAAGAGAATCTTAGTTCTCCCTCCTTCTTCCTTCAGAATTTTCGTTGTGGTCCAAGAGCATTATTATTGATATATTATCTATTTTTTTTTAGGTAAACCAGTGACCGGTACAGTAATTGAAGTCCTAAACTGAAATCGCTCATTTAGATGTGAACAATTTAATTAGCTGCAATTATGCCATATGCATATTCTACAAGTATGAGACTTATTTAGTATTTACATATTGTAATTATTCTATGTAATATGATATTTAAGCACTTTCCTCTCATTCTGCAATTTCATTTATCAAAGTACCCCATTGTAAAATATACCTAATGATTGAACAAAAATATAGGAAACATAGGTAATCTTATTTTCGAGTAAATACGACATTTGCTTTTAATGTTGTCGAGGTTTAATATTCTCATTAAGTCCAATTTAGATTGCAGTTGAAGAGAACGATTTTATTTCATTTTCTATTTGTCAAATTGAAAATTCCGACTAAACACTGCGCTGATATATGCCCCCTTATTTTTGCCTTACGCCTTAGTCGAACACGCAGTTCGGACTAACAGTTACTTTCTGTTATAAGGTATTTCTCCCGCCATCTTAGCATGACTTCGTGGTGTAGCAGTCAGCACACTCGGCGAGTATCGAGAGGTACGCGTTCGCGTCCCGGCGAGGGCATTGCTCATTTTTACCGTCTCCCGTATTAAAAATAATCTAATGTCTTTACAGTAGCGCCCGAACTAAAAAAAAGGTGGTGGATGATGATTCTCCACAACCAGGATTTGGAAATTGGATCCCCTAATCCCCGGTCGCTCTTTAAAAGGGAGAGTATATAAGGTATATCTCCCGCTTTCTTATCATGCCTTCGTGGTGTAGTAGTCAGCACACCCGGTGCGTATCGAGAGGTCTGTGGTTGGCGTCTCGGTGAGGGCATGTTTCATGTCTCCCGTATCAAAAATAACCCAATGTCTCTACGCTGTTAGCTACTCTATCGTCCTCTGACGTTTAATGCAGTGCAGTAACCTTTCCCGATGACGCGTGCTGTGATACAGCAGAAAAATTCAGAGTACATTTTACGCCCAGAAAATGTATTTTCATGAACAAAGTAGGCTACAATTGGTTCTGCCTCCGAAGAAATGGCTCAAACATTTTTAAGTTGAAAAATATCTAAGACATGCCATAAGACATATCTAAGACATGTCATCTATTAAAGCTTTTGGAAAAATTACAGGTATTATTTTTGGATCCTCACTTGCACAAAGCAAAAATTTTTTAATGCTCTTCATGTTCAGAATGTTCAGAAATAGCTTCCTTCTTCTTTCATTATGTACGCAAAATTATATTTATAATTTAGTAGTACATTAAATGGTTTCTTATGCTATGAACATATTTTGTTACACAAACCTGAAATGGAACTTTAACTCAGTTTTTTTTTTTTCAAATGACGTCGACCAAAACATTAACTTCCTTACCAGCCAGTACCTAGACGTTTGACGTAAAGACTGCCTTGTTGAAATTTCTCTAAAAAGCTAGATTTGGAAAAAGTAGACATTAGGTTATAGGGTCGCTCAGCCTTCTAAAATTCAACTTCTATATTTCTTCTTGAAATGAGAGGGAAATAAAGTCTATTATAATTTATTCGTCAAATAACTGAGCTGTGAGTAAAAGGTTTTGTGCTCTGACCTCAGTCAAATCACATAAGAAAATACACTCATGTCCATAAATTAAGGATAATTCGGAGTCAGGCGGAAATCGAACTCTAAAATAAATATATCACCTGTAAAATCACTACACACATCTTCAAGAATCATATGCAAATTTCAGGAAGTAACCAGATGACACCGATGGTACGTCACAATGACGAGAGTGTAAGAGAGTGATATATATTAGAAATACAGGCAAAGAAGTAAAATTGTTCGCAGACGCTTTATAGGCATTTCAGTGCAATAACCGAATAGTTATGACACAAAGGACGCACTTGGATGATTTTTTGCGTGGTAGAATTATCGGCCGTCTGGAATGTGGGCGTACCCAACTGGAAGTATCAGAAGAACTTGGAATTGCACAGAGTGTTATCTCCAGGCTTTGGCAACGATTCCAAGATGATGGTAATGTGAATAGGCGTTACAGCACAGGTCGCCCCAGAGTTACAACGCCGAATGAGGACCGGTATTTGGCAGTTACTGCCAAAAGAAACAGACGGATCACAGCCTCAGACCTGTCTCGTCAGCTCTCTTCAGCCAATGGTACGACAATTTCAAGGCAGACCGTGTACAGACGCTTAGGGCAGATTGGTCTGTATGCTTGTAGATCTGTCAGATGCATTCCACTTACTGCAACTCACTGTTGCCTGCGGTTAGCCTGGAGTAGAGAGCATGCATTGTGGACGCCGCAACAGTGGGCTTGTGTGATGTTTTCCGACGAGTCCAGGTTTAGCTTGCAGTCTGATTCTCGCCGGACTTTCATATGGAGAGCTCCAGGTACCCGTTACCACCAAGAAAACATCATTGAACGACACCGTTACGGTGGTGCAGGAGTGCTCGTTTGGGGTGGATTATTCTGGGTTCCAGAACTGACCTGCATGTTCAAATTGGAACCATGCCAAGCCAAATCTATCGGGACGTCATTCTGGAACAACATGTACGTTTGTTTCGGGGCGCCATGGGCGCACAATTTGTGTTTATGGATGACAACGCCCGTCCTCAGCGTGCAAATATCGTAAGCGAATGCCTTCGATCGGAGGATATCACCCGTATGGACTGGCCAGCATTCTCACCGGACTTGAATCCAGTAGAGCACGTGTGGGACATGCTTGGCCGACGAGTTGCAGCTCGTCAACCTCCTCCTACATGTCTACCGAAACTTCGGAGAGCATTACTTTTTGAGTGGTGTAATATCCCCCAAGATCAGATCGATAATTTGATACTCAGCATGCCTAGACGTTGTACGGACTGTATTGCATCGTCTGGGAGACATACAATGTATTAACAATCATACCAATCATGTAATATTGGTTTTTTGTAAATAGGTTTTTTTGTAATTTGCTCCAGGATGAAAAATTTGCTAATATTTTTAATAATATTAAACATATAGCATCTTTTTTTGCTCTTTACCTTAAGTTTAATAAATGAGCTTTACAAATAAGTCAAATTTGTTTTGCTTCTAACTCTTCCTTTGCCTGATTTTGCATTATCTTTAATTTATGGACATGAGTGTAATTCATGTGTGGCCATCAAAGAAGAAAAAACATATTCTGGCTCCCGTCCCCCCCCAAAAAAAAGATTAAGTTGAAGACCGTTTTAAATTCCTTATGATATTCATAAATTAGTATGTTACATATTTTAAAAGCGTAAGTATGGTTAAATATGCTTCTACTAAAAACATTTGAACTTCAGAAAAAAAAGAAAAAAAAAACTTGTGCAACATAATGCACATTATAAAACTTGTGATAAAGTTTCTAAAAGTTTGACTATTCTGACTTTCAAGGAACACGATTAGTAGAAAAACAAGTGTAGTGAAAAACCTAAGCATTTTGCATAAATGGAAGAACAAATATGAACATTAAAAACAAGCTGATTAATTATTTTGGTTTACATATATGCAAACTTATATAAAAGATAGAAAAGGAAAACTAACTGAAATTTCCTTACCTCCCCACCGTTCTGTTGTTTCTCCATGGCCACCGCCTCGATTTCCAAACCTACAGAAAAATAATAACCAACTGATTCAATTATGAACAAAACTTAATAATCAAATAGTTTATATATACATCACACAAAATTTCAGGTAATTTCTAAGATTAATTTATGCAAAGTAATAATTAAAAATGGTTTTATTTTAGCTGATAAACAATAGAAAACCTTTGATTCAGTCAGTTTATTGATAAAAAATTTGAAACACACTAAATCTAGAACACTATTAAGTGATTTCAAGATGAATACACGATTTATCCTTAATTCTTTAACTAAAAGGGAAACACAAAGGTAAACTAGCTCGATTCATATCGAGCTAACTTTCCATCGCTTTAAGTTATTTAGATTTTGAAACATATACCAATAGGTTTCATATATAAAATTAAAAGTGCAAATTGTAATACTGTGGGGTGTGGAAAACATTTTATCACATTCGAAATGCAGATTTTTATGAGTTCTTAACCATAAACCGATAAAGATTTTAGCAGAAAAAGAAGACGTCCTGAAGTTTAAATTGACATAGTCATTATATTTCGTCCTCTGACGTAATATATTTCATCTGACAGCACTGAAGGTTTTTAATTTGCTGAATTTGGATATTTTTCGTTATATATAAAATGCAACGTGACTTTAATGCATTGTCGTGAAAAGTTTTAATTAACAGCCCTATGACAGAGCATGGGTCGCACATTGCTTTCAATTTTGAAACTCTGTTATACTGCATTTAGTATAATTTCCAGCTTAAAATCCACAAAAATACCATAATTCATTATTATAACAACCCCAGCCAACGTCGTTTGTATGGCCGGGTTATAACTGACTCTCAGAAGTAAGCTAAAACGTCTAAGAAGGGGAAGCTTAAAATGTCTTCATTAGTTTCATTGGCAGCCTGAATATCAACTCAAATAATTTTTTTTTTTCAATAACACTGAATGAAGTACACTGCGTAAAAAAAGGGGGGGAGAGGACAGTTCTATATCTCCCATTACTGGGCCGATTGACTGGCCGAAATTCAAAATGCGTTTTTCATGTCTCGAAAGCGCGACATAGGATACATTTTAGATTTATATATAACATAGGTTCTAACATAGGTATTTTGACACAAAATCGGACCTTTTTCTGAAATAACATAGTTTTTTTTTCAATATTTAGATTCTACGACTCAAATTGTGCCTCGATATTAAATTTTGTAAAATTTGGTGCGAAATTTACGGAGAAATTAAAAAATTTATATTGGCGCATTTTGTTTTTCAATTTGCGCCAAGAATAATTCACCTAGCGCAATTTTTAATATATGGCAACCAATTTGCCTTTCCTTTCCATTATGCCGGAGCTGAAAAAAGGGCTCCTCGTTCCTACCTTTTTACATTGTGCATGACCGGAAAAAAAGTTACATCGTTCTTAACTTCAAATAATTTTAGCAAAGTGTCACATTTGATATTTTATCGCTTTCAACAAATATGCCAGATTTCAAAACGCGCCAATATATAAATTCACGTATATCTTCGGAAATGTTGAATAAAAATCTGTAATTTTTTGTAGGTGTGCTTAGAAATACGTCTACTTTAAGAGGATGCTAAAAATTTTATAGATTATAATTCAAAATTTTTTTCGAAAGATTTTTAAAAATTATTTAAAAATACAAATCTTAAAAATAAATCAGAAAAAATGGGTGAATTTATTTGGAATGAACCTGAATTTCGAAATGTGAAAGGAAGAATCAAATAAGTTTAATAAAAGAAGAGAGATTAATAAATAGTATATACCAAACTCAATTAAACATTGAAGGAGTTAAAACTTTGAGAGCTACTTTTGTAAAAACTACTCGTGCGATTTTGGCAAAACTTGGTAGTTTGGATTAATTTGAGTCGTAGAATTGAAATATGGAACAAAATTCGTATGTTATTTCAAAATTCCGATTTTGTGTCAAAATACATATGTTAGAACAATACTATATATAAATCTAATATATACCCTATGCGCTTTCGAGACATGAGAAACGCAAGTTGAATTTCGTCAATCGGCCCAGTAGAACGGGAGATATAGAACTGTTCTATTTTTTTTCGCAGTGTACATTCCATTTTAATTAAAAAGAGCAAACGTGTGTTAATTATAAAAATTAATGATTACCTGAAAATAACAAGTAAATTTTGTTTTCGAAGCAGTAAATGCGAAGAAAAATTACACGAATTCCGTATTTAAGTATAGTAACTTCAAGACCTTAGAACATACTTACATGCTATACGTTTTCGGCAATATACAAGCATGACATGAGAAGGAAGATGTTTAAAACATTGAACTGAAACTGAAAGTATTGGTTTATGGATTAAGAATCTATGTTTTTCTGATTGGATTCAATTACCAACTGTATGGCAAATACATTCAGAACTATGATTTTCATTGCTGCATTCTATTTGCTAAAAAAATCCAAAGATAATATTTAAAACGTTTAACGTTATTTATTTTAATATTAGCTATCTATTGGTGTTTGTATTCTAGTCCAATCTAAAATGTGAGTGCATAAACAGTGAATAATGATTGGATACGAATTTCTGCAGGGCACTGAATCTGATAAGCTTTGCTTAAATAACTGAATAAAAGAATCATATTTTATGTTTTTATGAATAATTTATTTCGCGAAATGTAGTCGGATCAAAGAGAAAGAAAGAAACGGTCAGGAGATTCTGAAAAAGTCTTGAACGTGATTTTTCCGATAGGTTGAATTGGAAATTTATATAGGAGCATAATGGATCGAAAGAAAATAAATTGTGAATATTTTGATGGAAAAGAACTCTAAAAGGGAAGTTGAGGAAAGAAATGGAAAATGTTAACCAAATAATGAGCTGTAAATTTATTTTAGTAAAGATAAAGTTGAAAAAATTCAAACTCCAAACATAAAAATCAATACACACATTTCATTTCTCAAAACTGTAACGCCGAAGGCAATTTAATCCGAAAGCCTTTTTATTTAAGATTTCTCAATACTTATGAAACAAAAACTTTCATAGAAGAGAATATTTTCGCATTACACGAATGTATTACATGAAATCATGAAGGTTGACATAACATTCAAATTATGTTTTTTTCTTTGAGAACAAATAGCTTCGCAATTTAGTTATAAATATTTTTCAATACAACACTTAATTTTATGCTCGAAATACAAAAATACTTTTGTGCTAATTGCACTCTGTGCCTATAGGCTATTAAAAATAGGTGAATATCTATGTCGTGAACGCACTCAGTAAACAGCATTATCAGTTATACTGTTTCGTAACCGACCTTAAGATAGTTTGCAGAAAGCACTGGTACATCTGCACTTGCTGATGCTTTAGTAAGCGTAGTGTTATTCAAGAAGATATTAAATTCTTAACTATGCAATTTGCTGTTTCACTGTATTGAAGCAGAATGTATAAATGTTTCAGTGTATCATTTCTTCTAATGTAGCCACATAGGATGATACACAATTACTTGTTACTATTATTCTTCATCTATTGTATAATGTACAAGTGCCATTTTCAGTATTTCATTTCCATTAATGTATAAGTGTTTAAGTGTATCATTTGTACTAATATATGTATAGCCACGTAAGGTAATACACGATCATGTGCAATCATGAATTGTCATCGGTCATATTGATGTACAATTTTCATTCTCAGTGTATCATTTCTGTCAACGTATAGGTGTGTATGTATCATTTTTAATGATGTGTGCATAGCCCAGTATATTGGCCTAATTGGAATAATACATGATTATGTGTTTCCATTTATCGCCATCATTCGTATTACTGTGCATGTGTTGTTTTCAGAATATCTTTGCTATTAATGTTTAAGTGTTTATGTATATCATTTCTAGTAGTTTATGTATAGTCACACAGGATGATACAGGATTACGTGTAATCATTATTTGACATCTTCTGCATTAATGCTCCAATTGCATTATGAGTGTATCATATCTTTTAATGTATTATAAGTGTTTATTGTCTGCCTATCTCATTAACCACTTAGGCCAATACACATATGTATCCAATGTGCCTATACCAGCCAATGTTCACATGTATGAAATTTTTATTAATTGTATGCTGACGTATATATGCATACTCCCTTGTTTGGCCACGTCAAAACCTCATATTCTTCATTAATAATTTCCCGATGCAGTCCTAGGGTTGTGTTGTTCTAGATAGGTGCGGGTACCGGACGACACCCGATTTGTCATATAAAGCCGTCCGGCCCTGTATTCACCTGTCACCTGTATTGAAGCAGATGGACCCTGTAACACTAAAGTCTTCGCACTTTTCCTTTGCATGTAATGTGGCCAACGGCCATTACCATACTAGAAAATGGTAAAAATTCGAAATTCGTTGAAGGATTGCTATTATATATATAGTTCTATGGCTCTCGTAAAATCGAAAATTATTCCTAAATGTAGTTTCATGAACGTCTTTATGTGATTAAGTAATGTAATTGTTCTTTTAGAAGTTAATAGACATTTCTTCAGCATGAGAAAAAAATAAAAATGCTTTATAAATGGTATTCTAAACAAAAACGCAAACGAATATATAATACCCATGACATAAATTCCTATAAGCGAAAAAAATAATACCTCAATTCACATAAGAGAGTACAGCTTTCAAATGTAAAACATTATAATTATACCAATATTCCTTAGGAATCATAAATTGTGAAGACTTTTTCTAAGCAGGTAAGTCATAAAGCTTTTCCAAATTGCCTTAGGGAGTTTACGATGTCTTTTTCGTTGCTGTCATAGTCATAAATTTTGATTCCACTGTTACGAATGTTGGCATCTGCTTTTAATTTTTTTTATTAGTTTAAGAGGGGAAGTCAAGAGTAGGTCTATCTTCATTTCCTTTTGCGGCTGGAATATATTAAGGACAGTTTATATTAAAATATGTGGTACGTATTACTGCTGCAGAATTTCTCTCTTTATCTTATTTACGAGTACGTTATCATCTGCATATAAAATAAAACTGAATCATAATAATACAGTTTCT